AGTCTCAGGGTGGACGGGGCGCGCGCGAGTGAGATAGAATAGGGGAGCGAGGGAGAGTGGGAGAGACAGTCAGAGGGCGCACGCATTCAAGGAAGCCACTGCGTACAAGCATCCCCCCACCTCGCTACGCACGCGCGGCAGGCTGAAGCTACCTAGCAAGAAGTAAGCTAGGCGCTGCCTAGCTACAGACGCGCCCAGGCCCTTCTTTGGTTTGGTGGGGTAGTTTGCTGCTTCGTATAGTTCTTGTTCGTCAGTGTGGACGCATGGGGGGGCGTCGCTGCGTAAGTATGTACGTAAGCTGCTAACGTGTGGCCAGTGTTCTTATAGGATAGACACCGCGGGGCACGGCTGTGGATGCTCTTGGCTGGTATATTTATAGGCGTCCTCGGCTAATTGGCGCGGTCGTTCCTTGGCTGATATTCTTGGGCAGTGTCGTCGGCTATTGTATATTCTCGGGCCGTCGGCTATCGTTCTCGGCTAATGTTCGGGGCTAGTGTTCTCGGCTATCAGTCTAATGCTCTCGGCTAACACTCTTGGCCAATATTCTCAGCCAGTGCAGATTCTCGGTTAATATTCTCGGCTGGGGTTCTGTTCTCGGGTTAAATAAATAACTAAAAAAGCGGGCAGATATTCTCGGCCAGTGTGTGAAGGCACTGACTTACGCAGGCGCCCTCGGCTAAGTATGTACTTACGTAAGCAAGCTAGCTAAGTAAGTAAGCAACGCCCGCCCTCGGCTCCGTGGTATTCTGGGCCAATGTTCTCTGCTAGTAAATGACAAAAAAAACGCCCTGCCTCGGCTGGCGTCTTGCTTTTCTTTGCTAAGTATCTAGCTACGAATCAATGTAGTAAAGAGCTGAACACTCTCGGCGGGTGTTCTCCTAAGCAATATCCCCCGGCGATGAATATTCTCGGCGAATGTTCTCGGGTCGATAATAGTCTCGCCGAATGTCCTGGGTCAAGATTCTCGGCGAGTGTTCGCCCTCAGCTAATCAATAAGCATCCTCGGCCAAAAATGTCCTCAGCTAGGGAGTGTTCTCGCTCTCGGCTGATAAATATTCCTGGCTGATATTCTCGGCCAATGTTTTTGGCTAATGTTCTCGGCCAGTGTTCTCGGCTAATATTCTCGGCTAATATTCTCGGCTAATATTCTCGGCTAATATTCTCGGCTAATATTCTCGGCTAATATTCTCGGCTAATATTCTCGGC